GTAATTGTACATATTTCATATTCCTCCTTTAAGTGTCCTTTACTCTTTCTCAAGCCACTTTGGATACAAGTCTTTTAACAGGTCTGAATAGAGGGATTTCACTTTGTGTGTCTATCCTAGCACGTGCTTATGTTTACTTCAGTGTACTGAGCAGTTTTGATCACTGGACATACGGGGCCTTCTTTAGCTTAAATGGAAGAAATAGAGTCTGCATGAAATGAAGCCCCATAGCATTAATATTTAAAGCTAACAATAATGTAAAGTACAAAGTACAGTTTTGCAACAACATAGAGCATTCATCCTGAATAAGTCTACTTACTTTTTCTGCATGACGTCATATTTAAAAGCTAAATTTCAGTAGCAACGTTTTTTGGTGACAATTCAATATTTTGTTCTTTTTGTGGGTGTTCTGTTTGTTTGCAGTCAGATGAGTGAGCCTCATAGCGGTTTGACGCTCAAATGTGCCAAGTGTGGAGTAGTTTCAACAACAGCTTTGTCAGCCACCACCGCCAGTAATGCCATGTTAGTCCTGATCATTTACATCTTCTTGTTACAAATCTTATACAGTGCATGTGAGACAATAGTTTGATGATGACAACTGTGTTTGCTAACACTGTATAGAGTGCTGAGCACATTTAAATACTTTTTAACAGCAGCACGGGACGGTCTCTCCCACCTAAACTGCTGGCAAAACTGTGGCAGTTCAGCCAGGAGAGTTCAAAACAAACACAAAGAAAGCTGCGAAGTGAAAAAAGAGAAAGCGACGCTCCACTTCTGACCTGTCCTACAGGGGGCTGGGATACAACGCTGGCCTCCTCGGAAGTGGGAGACGTGTTCGTTTGAAATGCCTCTCTCCTTTTAGACAGCAGCAGTATGCACGGCACTGTAATAGGAAGATTTTTCCGTGTTGAGCGCATTAAAGATGAGGATCCGCTTTGTTAAGCCCCCAAGTAGTTTGCCAAAATCCCCTCTCTGACTTTAGGCAGAGTAGTGCTTTCTAAATCCCAGCAGCGCTCCCCCGCTGCCCTTTGTCCAGGGTGGGAGTGCGGCATAGCCGCGCCTGGGGACAGGCACCAGGGAGCAAGGGGAAGGGATGGCCTTTCACGTAACCCAGCTGAAAAAGTGTCAGCCCGGAATTTGTGCTACCAAGCTGGTATCTCCACTGTTATTTTAATGCCTGTGATTTTTCTTCTTGTGTGTATGTGCGTCTTCCTCGCTCCTACAGGTCCACCTTTGTCCCCTTTATCCCTTCCTCCTCTTCCGCCTTTCTTCCTGGTTCCTTCCTCCTTCCTCCAGAGCAACCCATGCCACATTTTCCTGGATTATCCTCTCTGTTCCAGTGCTTGGTTCTGGGTAACTTCTCCTCATCGCCTCTCCTCTCCCATCCATTTCTCTTGCCAGCTTTGGGATTAACACTACATTTTAAAACTTTTTTAAAAAAAAAAAAAAAGCAACTGTGTTTATTAACTGAATACAGGATATTTTTTAGATCATAAAGTACCAACACTGTTACATTCTTGTCTGTGATTTTCAAGTTAACTTGATAAAGTGCCATCCTTAAGTATGTTTTATTTTAATAGTGATTTTTTAATCATTTTTTTTGCAATATTACAGTGCTGCTTTTCTCTTTCTTTCAATAGGGCATCCCTTTGGAGTTCCTGTGTGGTGTTGCCACTTCTGGCCTTGACTTGGATGTCTGCAGTTCTGGCCATGACAGACAAAAGATCAATATTATTTCAGATACTTTTTGCAGTATTTGATTCATTACAAGGCTTTGTTATTGTCATGGTCCATTGTATTCTCCGAAGGGAGGTGAGGAATAGCTTCCCAGTTTTCTAAAGGGCTGTATTCCTGTTAATCTCTCAATTGCTCTTTAATGTTATATACAGCTTGCTCTGTAGAAGAATATTTCATAGAAAGAGAAAAGCATTTTGTGGTGAAATGTAGAGGAACAAGCAAAATAGAGAAGGAGAAGATCAGTTAATTCCAGGTGCAGAATTTCAGTTTCAGTATGAAACTATACCAAATTAGTTAAAGCTGGTTTGTAATCAATCCCAAATTCAGTTTATTTTTAAGTGTTAGGATTTCCCAATATTGTGAGTATAGGGCAATACTTACATGAAAGCTCTTTTCCTGAAGAACAAAAGCTATAGATTTTTACAGTCTCTAAAATTGATTCAAACACAAAATGTTTTCTGCTTATACTGTCCCTGAAAGAGGACACAAGGAGATGAGGTCTTATGTTTGTGAAGATCTAACCTTTCAGTTCTACAAACTCAGGTACATACTTAAGGTAACATGCTTAAGTTACTGGGGAAATGAGGATGAAGACAGATGAATGCTTTAAGAACAGCAAGGAAAAGCAAGTACCCCTGGCCTGCCCTTCACAGCTCAGTGTCACCCACCACAGAATTCATCACCACTGAAATCTGATGTCAAAGCTATGACACAAGTGCTCTTTAACCTGGCTCTGGTTGACAGCTTCTCTAACCTACCTAACCTGCTAACTAACCCTCCATTTTTATTGAGATAGATAGGTTTGAGAGCTGCAACACAACAGCTTTGCTAGCAGATCTGTGGTAGTGAGACCATGTATCAAAAATGAGCAGGCAGAGCCGGACTGGAGAGCAGTAACCTGGTCTATTGGCATACCTATGCGTTAGCCATAGTCAGCTTCAGGATATTTACCACACCAATAAACCCAATTACGCTGTGTAGCATGGTTCCTTGTGATCGGCAAGACTTATTAAAAAACACTTCAGGCCTAAAAAAAACAGGAAGGTGTTTCATGGAAGACTGAGGAATCTCACACAGTGTTTTGTCTTTTCACCATTCACACCCTTTAAACATTGAAACTCACTATATTTATGAAAAAAATCATGAGCAACATCATTTATTTCAATCTTTCAGTAGTCTGCCACTTTGAATGAACTTTATATCACTATCCTACACTGTACACATATATGATCATCTTATCAAAGAATTACGTTTCCAATTTTTAAGGAAAAATCTTATCAATATCTTGCAGAAAGTAACACCTTCCATTGTGCTGATTCTATCCCACTTTACTCAAGCTGTTAGAGGCTATGAACTTGTTTTTCTTAATCAGCTTTCATAGAGGAAGGGGTTCACCTGCTTTAATATATTTTCTTTTTTTTTAATTTCTCTCTTTTTTTTTTGTTTAGGATAAATATATATGCAGAATAAGAGATAATACTAAAGATAAATCTCTTTTATGTAGAACTGCCTTGCTATCCCCTTATTTTCTACAGCATTTTCTTTCCCCATATTATATACATCTGTGAAAGAGGGTATTCTCATCTGTAGAACTGAAAGCCATCATTTCACATATTCTTTTAATAAAATAGTGAGACTGCAACTATTTTTAATTGAATTCTTCAGTAGAAAGAATGGCAGTTCCATACTGCTCTTCCTGTCTCTGAAATTTGTATTTCCATTAGGATATATCAATTAGCCTGGAAAGGGCATACCACCTCCCACTTACTGTCCCGAGGAACCATTTTTATTTTAAAATATATATCTTGAGCTCAAGGTTGCAGATGAAACCTTCAAAACCAAAGCAGTATAAACAGGATTAACTTTCACAGAATCATAGAAACATAGAATACCTCGAGTTGGAAGGGATCTATAAGTCCAACTTCCTGATCCTCACAGGACTACCTAAACCTAAATCATAGGACCACGAGCATTGTCCAGATGCTCCTTGAACTCTGACAGGCTTGGTGCTGTGACCACTTCCCTGGGGAGCCTGTTCCAGTGACCAAGCACTTTCTTAATCTGATGCAACTTCATTCCATTTCCTTGTGTCCTAATTCCATTTCCTTGTGTCCTTTGTGAGGATACAAAGAGGTTGCAAAACATATTTGGTTATCACTCATTGATTTTGTCAAAAACCAGACCAAAATCCATGAGAAATTCTAAAAGTAACATAGAATAGCACTGTATAAAATAAAAAAAATAAATAAAAAAAATCAGACATTAAAACTTGCCTCAGTGCAGTAATACAGGAGTTTATTTGGAAAAAAAAATATTTTGACTGCTTAAGACAAAACTGAAGAGGCATCTTCCCACAATGCCCTAAGCCTTGAATTCAAGACAGGTTCCCTACTCTAATGACAGCTATTTGCTGCAAATACTTCATTTCCAGGGAACACTTTGATATTGCTGAACATCTCACGGAGACATTCTTGTCTGACCCTACTCACCAGTAGCACTGTGGTCATAGAGCTGGAATTAGTCTTTTCCATAAGTAAACCCAGTTTTCAAATTTGTAGGGTACCTTGAAGTGAATCACTTTTAACTCGCTGGTTCTAGTGCAAGCAATATGCAAAAATATCCGCCTATAAAGATGTTTATACAGGAATTTAGAATCTTAATTGTTTGTGTGTAGGCAATCAGCTAGTTGCGGTTTATTTTATTCGCTGTTCTTTTAGCAAATCACATATATAAATCTCATCTAACTGCAAAGAATGATTACCTCATTTAACTGCTTAAAGGAGTTGTTCCCGCAAGCCAGTCTTGGCAGTTACACCTCCTGGTCCTAACACTGAAGTTCTAGAAGAAAGGCATTTGATAAAACAGATAATCAATCTCTCTATATGGTATTTAAAAAAAAAAAAACCTCATGAGGAGATTTTGCAATGAGGCCCCAAAAGCACCTATATCTGATAAGGTCATCCCTTATCAAAAAGGGGAAGGAGTTTTTTCTTCAGTCATGACAACTTAGGCAGAAGTCAATATATAGAGACGACTTATTCACTAATCTGTAGATTATCTCCAGTGAAGATGATGACAGTGGTCATGGTGGAAGACAAAGAAGCCTAGGCATACTGCTGTTTGAACTCTGTTTGACAGAACACATTGAATCTTCTTTAGTCCTTCAGATTTAAATTGTAAACTGGGCAAACCACTTGAGGAACTAATTAAGGTAATTTTTTTTCATATGGGAAAAGAAAATGAATAGAAATTTCTTCAAGAACAGCAAAGAAGTAAAAGTTGATGCACTTGAAACAATTTTTGTTTCAAAAATGTGTATGGTCTGCACTTACGTGGACCAGTTTGCAGAAACAAAGACATAATTCTTCACTGCGACAAATTCCTACACAGAAAGAGATGTAACCCCAGTAAATTATGTTTCAATCCGGCTCTAGAGCTTTCTCGCTTTCTAGCTCCATAGACCCTTAGGTGAGTAGAAGCCAAGACAGAGGCCATCATGCACAGTGTGTAATGCAGTCTTTGCACTGCGCAGGGCACCTCCCAGCTAAAATAATAGTCTGTTACTTTCTGTTGTCTGCAAAAGCACTTTGCTCGGCCCATGCTTGTCAGGGAAACCCCGCCAACATATTTGTCACTCTTGATGACAGCTACAAAGCTGTCCAGTTATAGTCTATAGGATTGATCTAATATTTATAGCATGCCAGCACAGGCAAAACAACAATTCTGACAGAAAAAAAAAAAAAATCAGGTGGAATATATCACCACAAAATTCAAACAGAGGACAGCCCTGCTTTACTGTGCTTTTATTGTCATTACATTACAAAAAGACACAGACTTTTACAATTATATATATAAACGCCCAATTTTTTCCTGTTATCTATAGTGACATAAACATGAATGATGGAAACATTTTTTACCTTTTCTACTATACTATATTGAAGATCTTGTGTGACAAGGGCTCCATTAAGAAGCCAGGGACATTCACTGAGTAAGACATACAACTAGAAGAGAACTAAGTGGTATGATGTGTCTATTTCTGCCCTCCAACAGTTCAGGGTCTTTTGGAAAGACAGTATATCTTTCTATATTCCCATTTCCTAACTTCTAAGATAAATATTATACTTCTTAAGCATGGGACTTTTCATAGACTATTTGGAAATTAGGAAAGAAAAATGCAAAGTAACAGCTAGGTATATTGCTTTACGTTATTATTGCTTTACTCTAGAGAGCCTAGTATTTTTTTTCTCTTCTTGCTGTTTAAATACCCAATTGAGCATTCGGAGGTGGTGAGGTATGTGTCACAGAACAGAGAATAATAGGAGAGGTTAGTGCTGAAGCTTCCCCATCAGAGCAAAATGGTTTGTCTGACCTGCTTGAACATGAGATGCTCTAAAGTTAAATTGAATCACACTGAGTAATCCCGTTAATGCTGATAATGGGAGGAGCCCACATGTATTTTTATTCTTTTGCTGTGCTCTGCTGGCTAGGGACCATTTGGGTTAAATGCATCATTGGCGTCTAAAGCCCACATTTCTGTACTGCAGGAGAAAAATTAAGAGTACATGAGTAGGGAGAGGGTAAGTTATAAAAGCTTGGCATTGGTTACTGTTGCTAAGGAAACCACTTCCCTGGTACCCGCACGTTCATCACATCTGTTTCTCCTGCTCTGCCTGGCTCTAAGAAAGCCTTGTAGCTTGATGTTAAAAGGTAGGGGGAAAAACAAGATTATGTTTCAAAGGAAAAGGTAAAGACAACACAGTTTTTACATACTCAAACAACAAGTTTGAACAAGCAGTTTAGAAAAATAAGCTGGTATTTAGAAAGTTCAGCCTTTTTGTTTCTGACTTGTGTGAGGATACCTAGAAGTTGCAACATATGTCGATATGATGGATTCAGCTAGATTTGACATTCTGTTAACATGTTCAAATCATATGCTGCTTGCACTTCAGAAACATTGTAAGAAACATGCACATTTCAGAGGATCCTAACATCAAGATTCTCCACTTCAATATAGAAGGTAGTGGAAGTAGGACATGAGATTATTGAGATCACTGGAGCTATTTGAACTGGGGAAGCTTCATGAACACAGAGTCCCAAAAATAAGGAGGCCCACTGCACAGAGTGAGAACACACAGTATGTTCTGAAGTAATAATGCTTTGGGGTCAAGCATCATGAGGCTTGAGGCAAGATTCAGCACAGCTGGGAATGCTTTGGAGAGAGGAATTTTTTATTTTATTTTTTTTGTCAAATCACTGTGCCAGTGCTTATCCAAGAGCATAAACCTCTGATGTGTGGCCTGACTTCAGCATTGGTGAAGTGAGAGAAAACATGGATTAAATTTGCAACAACTGGGAGATGCCAAATTAAATTAATGTCAAACACATGGAAAACCACAGCAAGGGTAGTGCCTGAAAATCAGAATCTGAGTCATGATACTGGTCAAGCATACTTCATATTACCACATACTGGAAGCCTTGTGTTTTGAAATCAAGCAACAGTCACTTATCAAGACTGCAGAGCACTCTTACTCATCTAAGGGTTAAGCACTTTAAAATAATGCTTTCTAATTACAAAAAGTATTTTTTTTCCATTTCATTTTCCCTTTTGTGAAAGCTCTTAAACAGCCTGCAGTAGAATATGGTGTATTGAAAGGGGACAGCTTTTCATCAGCAACAATTAATGAATTATCCTCTTCTGCTGTTCACAAAATGTCCATGAGTAGAATACGATTTTCTCCCTTTTAATTATTCTGAATAAGACATCAAGTAATTTCTGCAGATAATAAAGGGAGTGTGGAATTTTGTAGGCATTTCATTGAGAGTACTTTCATATTCAAACAAGAAATGATACTAGTTTGTTTTGATTGGAGGTCACCCAACTAAGTTCCTGTTTTCCAAGTCACATCTTGCAATCAGGTTGTTAATATGGACACTTGCAATTCTGGAATGAAAATTCACATTCTAAAACTTTCCATTCCAAAAGTTGCCTTGCTGTCCTCAGTGTGGTACATGTGAAAAAGCAGCAAAGTGTGTTTGCATTCTACTGTCAGCAAACAGGAACTGCATTTTTCTTTTGAATGTGCCTCTCTGTTGAATCACATCTTTCTGACTGAAGTGTTGCAAAATAATATTTCTTTAGACATATTTCTGCCCAAAATAAAAGTATAAATATCCTTTCCTATGAAAAGATAATTCCTCAAATATACTTGTGTTTTAGGGACAAGCCTTCAAATTTACCTCATGGATCCTATTGGTAAACAGAATTTTCTGAGCAGTTCCTTTTTTTGTTTGTTTCAAGAAACCAGATTCTATGCAAACAGTACACTTCTCTTGTTGTGCTCACACTTGAAGATATTTACTTGATTGATTGAAAGAGTTTTACTCCTAGAAGAGACGCCTGAGAGACCCTCCTCATGGAGCTAGAGATTATGATTGGAATCAGTAACATCTTTCAAACTGACTTATTCTTTAAAGCATAATTAGGAGAGCTCAATGTATCTTGAAAGAACTGTCTTTCAAGAACCTTACATTTATCTGGCAGAAGATACATTTTATTTTGCAATGGTTAATAGTATATCTATTAATCCTGATATCAGACCAAACTGAATGAGAAGACAAAGCCAAATACTATCACCCAAGACATATTTGGCTTGAGTACCAGATCATCACTGACTGTTAGTTAATTCTGTCCATAGGCAATTCTAATTCCATGGTCTTGATGTGATAAACTGACAGACTTTGTAGCAGCCACAAAATATAGAAAAAGTAAGAAATGGCAGAAATAAGAATTTATGTTTACTGCTTCTGATTTGTTAAGTATGCTAAAGAAAAGTCATGCACTGTATTCCATACAGTTTAATTTAATCTTTAATAGGAGTAGAGTATATGATGTTGCACAGGAATCAGTATAAGATATTGTTTTCACAGGTTCAAGATGCATTCAGATGTCGACTGAGAAATTGCCAGGATCCAATCAATGCAGATTCTTCAAGTTCTTTTCCTAATGGACATGCTCAAATCATGGTTAGCTTTTATTTTCTTCTTTGACTATTAATTTTGTGTTCCTATCCAAAAGAAAAAACTTACAGTATTGTACATGGCAAGTATGCACAGCTGAAATATTAACACCATTTTTAAGCATAAGTCTGTTTAGATCATTATCTGCTTAAATCTCTTAGCAAGTTTTAAATTATTGGTGTGGTCATTTAGTGGAGCGCAGTGAATTAGTGTCCTCCACTGGTGTTCTTTGTGACAAATGATTATTACATAAGACAAAGTAATCTAATAATATGTCGTGATTTTTTCTACTGTTGGTATAAAGAGCACTGATGCATTTGAGAGTCTTCCCTCCACGAGGCCTTGAAAAAGTCAGATAAGGAGAAAGTGCTAGAGATTCTAGAGGGGTGAATCGATCTAGTGACTTGAATTAAGGAGACAGTGAGTGGCTCAGTATGCCAATTTGGATTTATTAATATTGTTAGGTAGTATATTAAGACAAAATATTGGTCCCTTCACTTTCAACAACAGTTTGTCTTTGACTATAATGGGGATAGGATCAGGCCCTAAAAAATGCAAGGCTCAGCAAGCAGATGCCCTTCAAAACTGATGACTCGAAAAGAATCCAATGTTTGGACTTCACAAGCAAGAAAGAGATCAGGTTTATTAAACATCTTTCATGTACTAAACTTTTTGTGGGAACAAATATATAATTTAAAATTACTTGAATTCTCTAACAAGATAAATAGTTCTGTTTAACTGGGAAAAGTGTGCTTGGATTTTCAACTGTTAAAATTCATTCTTAGCTCTTACAATTCACTTTTACCCAATGAAATAATTAATAGTTGTTTTCAGGGAGTGCAAAGTTTGTGTGATTACATTAGTAGCAAGGATGGACAGAAAGTTATATAACAAATAGCCACTTCATAACAAAGTTTTAGACAGGGTGGACTAATTGGATTACACTTATTCACAGTAATTTGTATTGCAGGCTGTTTTCCATACTTCTGTTTATAACATTACTATGAAAACTTCCTTAAAGATGATCCTTCAATGAGATATAGAAGTTACTCTTCCATATACATAAAAAACTATACACTGTATCGTTTTATTAAATTATATACTCTACTTCCACCTATTTTATTTTATTTTTTCTGGTCAGGCAGCATACTTTGAAAACCACCCAGTTATACTTTAGGAAACTTTGTAAAGCTCTGCTGTTGTAAAACAATACACTTCACCTTCTCAGCAACAAGAAACCACTTTTAAGAGACTATGACTCTGTAAGTAGGACATTTTGGAAGCGCTAGTTGGCAAAAAGATATTGTGGTTTAGTTTTCAATTAATAACAGTTGTCCTGTTTCGTTGGTTCTTGTTACAGACTGATTTTGAAAAGGACGTGGACATTGCTTGTCGGTCAGGTAAGAACATTGAGAGAGTATTTAGTCAACAAAAACGAAGTATTTTACTAGTTTCTTGTGAACAAGTGAAAAATATCAGGGTTTAATTTTTTACAGCACGTATTTATAAATGTAAATAGAAAAGTGAAGGCACTGTACAAATACATTTCTTTCATTTTCTTACAAAAGCCACTTGCTAGAGAGTTCAGCGGTTGGGAAGCAGCCAAAGATGTGATTGTCTATTAGAAGGCAAATGGTTTTGGAAAGAAGATCAGTCTTAAAACAAAAAACTTTCCTTGCTCTGGTATACAAGCAAACATGAAACAGTTATTTTGTTATCAAAAAAAAAAAAAAAATATAGTGTATCTTAACAGTTATGTATATGAAGGGTGCATCAACTGGTGTTGAAGCGGGTAAGTTTTTTAAGACTCGAAGTGAAATCAACAGTAGCTTAAGCAACATGGTATCAGGAAAATGGAATTTGATTCCACTTTACTGGAACAAATTGGGGGGGCTTTAAGATATTTTAGTAGTGTGATCTTTAATTAGTCAACTATGTCTCTTGCCACATATTAAAACCAACACATTTTAAGCAATTTATTTGCTAACCTTGCTTAAATAAAATACAGTGTAAACTAAATGACCATTTAAACCCTATAGAAATTTTTAAAACTAGGAGGAAAATTTTTCCTGGGGAGGCAGTCCTGCCTAGACACCCTCAGTTTTCAATGAAGAGAGAAAGAAAGAAAGAAAGAAAGAGAGGGTGTCCTCTCCACAGGGTGAATCAGGGCAGAAGCCTGACTTAGCTGTTCTGCATCACCCACTTGGAGGACACTGTCCCTCTTTGCTGGCTATAGGGGGAGCCAAGAAGGCTGATCTCATTAAGGTAAAGTTTGAGTTTCCAGTTTTCCACCTTTAAAATCTGCCGGTTCAGTTTCTTGCAATATGGTAATAGCTCTTCCATATAGATTAGTTTTAATATGCACACGTATTTTGAAGGGAGCAGGATAGTACATTGTAATGAAAATGCACATCTGTCGCTATTGAACGCAGACAGAAGTCCAGCATCAGTCTGTGTAGCTCCTACTTCTTGCTTCTGCCAACACAGCTCTGAAGTATGGAGGGCCTTGTCAGAGGCATCCTTAAGGAGATGGACTTTGAATACAGTTATGAACAGGCTTTACTAGTTAAACATTTAAACTGAGTTTTTTCTAAGGGAAGATTTAAGAATAGTGAGGTAGGAAAGTGGGATGCCCTATGAGCTGCTTGTTGTAGAATATGGCAGTGAACTGACACGTACTGGGGGATCTGGGTCATCAGAACCCTCAGGCTACCAAAAGGGATGTAAATCTGAGATACCTGAGATACTTCAAGTTGTTTTACTATCTCAGCCTGTGGGATGGGTTTTATTGCACAAACTAGCACTGGTGTGAATTAAAACATTTTCAACTGGGACAAGAAAATCCTTGCACCCAGCTGGAATAAGCCCAGCAATTGCTTACTTTGGTTTTTTTTTTTTTTTACTATCTATGCTTTTTCTTTCATTACAAGTGTTGAATTATAGACATATTTAATTTTTAAGATCAGTAATTGTGATTGAATAGATGCTTTGCTTTGGAATGCATCCTTCAGTGCTCCTGCAAATTTTGTATTCTATGACAGGATCAATAACTTTTACACGTGGAGCTTGGCCCCAACAAAAAATTGCTGGATGTTGCTACAACCTTGACCAGGAAGGTCTGGACCTACACAAAAAGTGGATTATAACTGTTTTATGAGACATATTTATATTCTTTATAACCTTTTCAGATGCAGGAAAATATGTCTTTCTTATACCGATGGAATTTCTTCCCAACGTGGTTATTTTTTTGTCATTTTTATTTAAAAAATTATTTAACACAGAAGAATTTTAAAAAGTCAGTGAAAAGGAGCACTTCGGAGCTTAGGGACACATGTTCATAGTTATAATCTTATGGTCGGTCATTACAATAGACTGACAAAATTATTCTGCCTTACAATCTGTTTGACATTTTCCAGGAGGTTAATAATGGCTGTGCAGATGTCATTGTGTATTTTTTTGGAAAACCCTTAATCGAGTTCCACATGGCAGGCTTTTGCTTAAGCTGTAGGTCATCTAAGATCTAGACAAGGCAGTAGGAAAAAATGAAGGAGTGTTTTTAATTTATATAAATGACTGAGGCTTAGTCGGAGATCTGTGTCAGTTATACACGATAGATTAAGAGATGTTGATTTAAAAAAAAAAAACCCAAACCTTCCAAAAATATTTACAAAATAAAAGTTATTAAATGGATAGACAAAGAGCTAAGAAGATGCACTGGTAAGGGGAGCGCTGCTAAATAAAGCCACAAGAAAAAGCAGGTGTTAGGCAGACATGGTTTCATGTTGTAAGAATTCTGTTCTCTGACCCACAGTTCTGCATAAAGACATTGGACCTTGCAGAGCAGCTACTATAACAGGAACACTTTCTAGAATTTCACTAAATGATGAAGAGGAGGAGAAGGGACCAAACCCTGAAGGAATGAGCTATTCTACCTTGCCTGGAAACATCATCTCCAAAGTCATCATCCAGCAACCAACAGGTCTCCACATGCCTATGAGTATGAGTGAACTGGCCAACCAGTGTTTGAAAAAAGACAACAGCGAGTTGCGGAGGACTGTGTACTTATGCACTGATGATAATTTGAGAGGTGCGGATATGGACATAGTTCATCCTCAAGAACGGATGATAGAAAGCGACTATATAGTCATGCCCCGGGGCTCAGTAAATACCCAGCCATCACTGAAAGATGAGAGCAAAATGAATATAGGCATGGATACGTTGCCTCATGAAAGGCTGTTGCACTACAAAGTTAATCCAGAGTTCAATATGAATCCCTCTGTAATGGACCAATTTAATATCAATTTAGACCAGCATCTTCCCACCCAAGAACATATGCAGAATTTACCATTTGAGCCCCGCACAGCAGTGAAGAACTTCATTGCCTCAGAGCTGGACGACAATGCAGGATTATCAAGAAGTGAAACTGGATCCACAATATCAATGAGCTCTTTAGAGGTCAGTGGTGCATAAACAAATTGCATGCTGTGTTGTTCTAATTATATGATAAGACAATAAATTGTGTCTTGTGTCTAAGGGGTGAAGCTAACATTTTAATTCAGTATAAATTATCATTTGGGATCATACACTGCTGTTCATATTTCTCTTGTTATCAGAAGTGTTTATACCTAGAAAACAAGATTAAAGTTTCAGAGACAGTCCATGTCTCTGCAGATTTAACATTCCACACGAGTGCAAAGGATTTTGCAACCTACCAGGTAAAGTCCACTGGAAAATACTGTGTTGGTATGAGAAGAAAAACTATTCCTTCTATACAAGTGATAATCATTGACCCTACCTGCAAGCACATGTTGTTGAAAATATTTGCCGTTTTATTGCTAACAATCATACCTGTCTCAGATACGATAGATCTGATTCTGCTCTCACTAGTATAAATCTTGGATTCTTTCATCCAGTAGTTCACCATTTACTGATTTAGTTTTGTTTGCATGTGCGTGAGGCATCGGTACAACTGAGGTGTACAATAGATACAGGTGGACTTCATGTGGAATGTCCTAGATTCCACTCAGATTGCAAAAGTGAACTGAAAAGTCTTTAAAAGGGATTCTGTTCATTACTACAATTTCACCAGCATTTCCAATATTATGAAACACAGCATTTGGAAATTGGGAAAGAATTTGGGAAAGAAAAAGACAAATGAGAAAAATATGGTACACACTCATTCTCTGAAAAAAATTACAGATGGAAAAAAAAAATCTACTGCATGTGCAAAGTTGAAGCCATTAGCTATTATTATTCTACAATGTTTGAACCCGTCTGTGCAGGGAAACAGAAAATACCTGATTTTTCAGTTGTTAGACACAGAACTGTAGCTGACACTTCATAAACAGGGGATACTTATGCATATATCTTTTAAAATGGAGTTGAGGTTTTATGTGTGGATCGACTGGAAAGTTTGGGCAGATCAGAAATTAGTTTCTTTTCAAGAGATGCCTTTACAAATTTGGAAGTGAAATATTTTTCATGCCTATTCTATTATGTGTGTACTTCTTTTTACAGGACACAATTTAACTGAAAAAAATTGAAAAATGCAATGTGAGGCTTTGCAAGTAATCAAATAGTATCCACTTTTTGTTTGTCATTAAAGTGAATATGTATAATCTTGGGAAAAATTTTCAAAATTATTTCTAAAAGCTAGTGTAAATGTTTGCCCACTCAGTGCTTAGACAGACAGGCTGTTTCAAAGGAAGTTTATCATCACAGAATCATAGAATCATTTAGGTTGGAAAAGACCTTTAAGGCCATCAAGCCCAACCGTTAACCTAACCCTGCCATCCCACCACTAAACCATGTCCCTAAGCACCTCATCTATCCGTCTTTTAAATACTTCCAGGGACAGTGACTTGATCACTTCCCTGGGCAGCCCGTTCCAGTGCCTGAGAATGCTTTCAGTGAAGAAATTTTTCCTAGTGTCTAACCTAAACCTGCCCTGGTGCTACTTGAGGCCATTTCCCCTTGTTACCAGGGGGAAGAGACCAACACCCACCTCACTACAACCTCCTTTCAGGTAGTTGTAGAGGGTGATAAGGTCTCCCCTCAGCCTCCTTTTCTCCAGGCTAAACATCGTTAAAGAAGATTGTATCATTAAAGAAGTTAGTGCCCTCAGCTCAGGTATATTAGTTAATAGCTCTTAGGTGGTGCACAGGAGTTCTCCAATTTAATGCAACCCCAGAAGCAGGGTAGCTGAGGTCACCTTCCAGCAATAGCCTCTCCTACCTATCCACAATACCATCTTTCAGATACTTTTTATCAGATATAGAAACTGAAATCCAGCCCAGTTAAGATTAGACATATGGGTGAGATATCTAGGGAAGGTTCATAATTCCTTGGAAAGACAGACATACCTGCCACCATACCATCCGCTCCACTGGAGGTCTAAATTATTCTCTGGTGATGCCTCTTTCTTTCCATTGCTGACAAAGGCCATCTAGGGACCTAAAAAAGGAGACCTTAGTTAAGTTGTAAAAACTGGGACAATAATTACTTCATCTTACACAGAATTCCAGTTCCTGAGGCCACTTTGGAAAATGTACCTGAAAATCTACAAGTATAATGTACTGTTCCTTTAGAGTTAATTTTTAAGTGGTATTTGTACCATATTTTAAGTTTACCTCTAAGATAGGATGCAGACACCAAATCTGAATCACTGTTCTGTATATCATTTTTATGCTCAGAGGAAATGACTTGGTATGTAGTAGAAAATGTAGTAAAATATAATAAAATCTGATAGCAAATATTTAGTCTCTTCTAACTTGGTAAACCTATTAGGTTTAGAAAGCTGTATTTCGGTTCAGAAAGCCGTAAACATTTATGTTATTAAACCTAACCAAAGCCAGCATAATTCCATGTATTAGGAAAAAAACAGATATTAGAGCAGATCAGAAATGAAAGGAACTGTTTTGGCTTTTGTGTCTGTCTTTGTGGTTCTCAACACTACTTGATTATATAGCATTACTTCATCTTTTGATAAGGATGTGCTGCAATGAATTGAAGATAGGAACATGAAAAAAATTATACATAGAAGAAAATCAGAGTCTCAAGCAGATCCAGATAAACACAACCAGACAGATAAAGAATGTGATGGTGTTTTTATGTATGCAGTTTGTAAGAAGCAAGGGTTGAGGTGAAGTCCCCAAATGCTGTTGGCTAGAACTGGCCAGCTGGATTAACTTTTATTGCTGCCAAAAACACAACAAAGAAGGGAGTGCAAGGGATTTTTTTCAAAACATTTTTGATGTCCAGTACAATGTAATTTTATAAGATTTCAAGACCTTTCAAAAGACAAAGCTTTATCAGACACTATGGAGCAGCAAAACCTGCGGCAGGACATTCAAGATCATTCTGCCTGTGTTTTTCCAGACAGAGCATGACTAGACCACCTATAAAAGAGAAGATCCTGAGCAGTAGGAAGCCCCCCTCTCCTATCAGCGCTCTCCCACTCGAAGTCCAACACAAAAGCACATGGTTTTCTGCTCTAAAGGGCCAGTTCCCCATTCATTTCTCTGAAGAAACAGAGGTGTCCCAAGACATGTGGTAGAAGTCTCCTTTTGTGTCTTCTGCAGAGTACAGGAAGCTGGGTTCCTCCACTGCTTTCCACTTTCTGTTTCCAGGTGCTTTCTCTGGAATTAGTATACTAGTATTATTTTTATCCTGTAATTATACATAAATTATCACCTAACATGTAACTGAAATTCACTTAGGCAGTGGTGTCCTGTGTTAACACAATTGTTTCTTTTTTAAAAAAAATTTAAGTTCAGTAATTATTAAGAACATAATAATGGGAATAGCTTACACAGTGGATGGAGAATTTATCATGTTATCAAAATGCCTTAAGATGTCATGTGATGCATTTTCAGCCAAGATCCAAGCCAGCTTCTGATTTCAGAAGTGTAATTATGAACCCACAAACACCTCTAGTCACAAAAATACTGCAGGCATAACTGTGCAGCTGGACACCAAGTAAAACACAATGTATTGATGTACATCCAAGAGTTCTTTCTTTTCCACTTATTTTATGGTAGATGCTAGTCTTTGTGGCCATAAAACTGAGCCAGAAGAATTAGAGGACACTTTGGAAAACATAAGCCTTAAGTAAAATAAAATTATTTCTTTTAAATTTCATTTCCACCTTACTAGTGAAACACTAGAGTATTGCGTTTCAAGGAACCAGTTTGCAGGAATATATGTATTATCATTCAAAGAATTCAATACGTTTGGAAAAATTAGCTTTTGAGTAACATCTTTACCTTCCTTAGTTCATGAAATCAATTATTTTTTGTATTTTGCATATTCCAAGAGACAATCAGCCCTTAGAACAATATGTGTCTATTCAAATAGTTTAGAAGTTTATATAAACAGCCAAAACCCCAAAGCTATTAAAAGTGAAGGCTGAAATGTCAGGTCTTTTTCATGTTCTCTTTTATTCAGACTTTATATTCATTATGATCATTGGAGTTGGATGATACTATAATATCAGCACAAGCATGTATGTCCTGACTTTTAACTCTGCAGGGAGGATCCATCACACCTAACATTAGATATCTAGATGTAGGCATTCCCCTTCTGATATGGAAAAAGAGCTTTTCACATCTGACTCCCCTTTAGAGTCAATGGAAAGAAATATGCACTTTTAGGCCACTTTTAGACATCTGCCCCAGCATGAAGCAAATCACATGTCCTCAGTGCAAGAGTCTTTCTTCAGGTGCCATAGAGGAAGCCAGAATGAGTAGTTCAGACATAAACATCAAAAATGTTGATGTCCTAAATTTAGTCAGATGAATCCTACAGTGTGTCACAAACTTCCTTCTAGTTTTTATGTCTACATGTTTTTTTCTCAAGCAAACGCATAACTGAGAACCATCAAATGCTTTAATATATATGGAAGAATTTCAGCTTTCAAAAGATAGCCTGTGAATGCCATAATATTTACATACAAGTATTGCCCAAATAAGTATAAATTTGAGGATATGCAGATTCCTAATGTGCAAGTCAGTGATTTTTTTATTTTATTTGGTATGTACCCAACAATACTCATGCAATCGTAGGCACAGGCAGGCATATTAGTACATCACGGAGTTTCTTAGGAGTAATTGAACATCTGGCTAATCTCCTGCACATCCCTTATATGCATGGATTACAACTGGTTTTGCTACCTTGGCATCAGAGTGGCTTGGACTGCACTTCTTCAGTTCAAAGTGGTTTGATTTTAATGAAGAAAGCACTCTCAATACACTCTTTTGTAATGGTTTTTGTTTTGAAAATGTACACTCAGAGTGGTGTGCTCATTAAAATGAAATTACTTTGAAGTGAAGTAGTGCATTCCCAGCCACTTAGATGCAAGGAAAGGTTAGGAGGTTTAAATGCAGAGGAAGAAGCTGATCTGTGCAACATATCTCCAGGATAATTCTGTTCTTTTTATTGTGCAAATTGAATGCAAG